TCTCAGCCAGTCTTCCTCTCTCCCGTTCCGCGGTTCTGAACCGAACTGTTCATTTCCCATGATGTCAACATCACTACCTCCAGTGATTCTTGCCAACCATCTGACAATCATGTCCCGCTTGGTCGAATATCATAGTCTTCAGTGTTTAAACTCCTAGAAGGACATGGTGCTCTCTAATCATCGACATTTGGTGTATTGATTACAGAATGATGCTTGAGATCTCTTGAGAATGGAGAAAATCTGGGTTCTACGAGACCTTGTGTATTTGGGGTAATTGCCTTGGTGTAAGTTGCCAAAGTCTGTTGGTGTGTTTGTATTTCTGTATTCCTACGGGAAAGATATTAGCATGGAAAAGACTATTAGTACCATCCCCTACTCATAACCAGTTCACATTACTTGCCGAGATTGCTTGAGAGGTCATTCGCGCGGAACCTCTGTGGCTTCAGAAGTTTATATTTTGCTCAACAGCAAAGCGATGTAATGTGAATTGTGCTTATTGTGTTATTGATACAAGTGACAAATATCATGTTGTGCCACAGAATGCATATGTATAACCTGTGTACCACAGCATGCTATCTAACCTTAAATGACACAGGGGTCATGACAAAGTATACGATCATGTCAGAAATCAATCATTTTGTTGTCCTGAAGTATGAAAGAAACACGGTGACAAGTTTGGTTAAACACAGCTGAGCACCGACAAATACAGTTTAGCATTTCTTTGGCGGGTGTGTCATGATAGCAAAATCACGAATTCTATGCTACTTCTTTAATTAAGAATCTAATCAGTTCATGTAAAGTAGAGTGTAACATTTATTTCATATATATGTGGCTGCCTCGAGTTTTCATTATTTATAACTACGTACTAATCAAACATCAATGAACCTTACTGAATGCCCGAAGAAGAATACAGGATTTAATCATCATTATCAGACATGAGTCACATGTAGAACCTGTCATATGAATTTTATTGTTGCTACTGAAATCTCTTGAGGGATATCGATCGTCAATCAGAGTCAGTTTTCTAATTTACACACATTTAATTGTTGTCTATAACATCTATCATAGGTAGGATGTTTGCCCATGGCTGTATCCTGAGACTTGATTGTGAATATGTTAAACTGACTGACTGACTGAGTTTTGGTTTAACGCCGCTTTTAGCAATATTCCAGCAATATCACGGCGGGGGACACCAGAAATGGGCTTCACTCATTGTACCCATGTGTGGATTCGAACCCGGGTCTTCGGCGTGACGGGCCAATGCTTTAACCACTAGACTACCCCACCGCCCCTGAATATGTTAAATCTCATCGAGGTCTATCCTTGATACACTGTGTATATGTATGATATCCTACCATGTTGTAATGGTAAAGAGTGAGTGAATGAGTTTAGTTTTACGCCGCACTCAGCAATATCCCAGCTATATGGCGGCGGTGTAATGGTAAAGAGCGAACGTTTACCTTCTTAGAATTTGCTGAATATACCTTAAAGATTGTTGGTCGGGGTAAGATCGGGGTTTGAATCCTTTGCTGTTATGTAATTCCTCACTCAGCAATTTTTTTTATGAAACGCAATAATCCAGTATAGAAAATATTGGATCAGACAAAAACATTGATTGCTGAAACAATCAACGCCGTGTGGGTACAGTATGAAACAGTCAGCTAAATGAGTCCAATATAGAAATCGACGTCGCACCTTACTAACAAGATACATGTAGGCTGTTAGGGAACAGTTCTAACACGGGTTTGGTACTACTGTCAAATACCGTAATGTCTTCAGCAGGTGAAAATCGTACCGATGAAAACAGGGTCCATAAGGGACCGTTCGTAATTTATGGCTGGGGGGTTGGATGATGAATTTTATGGAGAAGCAATGTTACCCTCCCCGACCCCAAAAAAAAAAAAAAAAACAAAAAGAAAAAAAACAAACAAACAAACAAACAAACAAAAAAACAAACAAATATATACGTACCAAGTAAAAGCCAACCCTACCCACACCATCCCCTGCATCTCATGTACAATATCAATGACAACAACCCCTAGTTCATGTGTACAACATTGATGGCCCCCTACCTCCCCAGAACAAAGTGGGTAACCCCCACCCACTTAAAATCATCATCACCCCCTAGTTATAAATTATGAACGGTCCCTTAAGGGCAAAAGCAAATATTTTCCACTGCCACTGTCTTCTCACTACATACGATCACTTCTCAACGTCTCACTGTTTCCTCACCACATGCGATCACTACTACACATATTTCACTGTCTCTTCGGGCGGTGGGGTAGCCTAGTGGTTAAAGCGTTGGCTCGTCACGCCGAAAACCCGGGTTCGAATCCCCACAAGGGTACAATGTGTAAAGCCCATTTCTGGTGACCCGCCGTGATATTGCTGGAATATTGCTAAAAGCGGCGTAAAACTAAACTCACTCACTCACTCACTGTCTCTTCATTACATACGATCACAACTACAATATCTCAGTCTTCTCGCTACATACGATTACTTCTCCACGTCTCGCTGTCTCCTCACAAAATACGAACACCACTACACATATTACTGTCTCCTCACTACATACGACCACCACTTCACGTATGTCACTCTCCTCACAACACACGACCACCACTTCACGTATGTCACTCTCTTCACAACACACGACCACCACTTCACATATGTCACTCTTTTCACAACACACGACCACCACTTCGTATGTCACTCTCCTCACACACACGACCACCACTTCACGTATGTCACTCTCTTCACAACACACGACCACCACTTCACGTATGTCACTCTCCTCACAACACACGACCACCACTTCACGTATGTCACTCTCCTCACAACACACGACCACCACTTCACGTATGTCACTCTCCTCACAACACACGACCACCACTTCACGTATGTCACTCTCCTCACAACACACGACCACTACTACAATCATTACTGTCTCCTCACAACACTACTAGATCACTTCTACTACCACGTATGTCTCTCCTGAACGGCCACTACTACAATATCACTGTCTCCACACAACACAAGATCAGTACTACACGTGTCTTGAAAAGAAATACAAAATGTTTTTATTTCTCACAACTTCATGGTGTAATAATGCTAATACAGATTTCCCCATCACTGAATCTTAAAACAGGAATAAATGGCAGCTGTAGTTCTTCATACTGGCGCCGGTCCCAGTTTCCAGCACCTGGGAATAGTTATGATAAATGCCGATGCATCACGTATTAATTTTACACGAAGATGTGTGAACAGGACCTTATCATCAGACGGGACAAAGCTTCAGTGAATCTGATATTATATGAAACACTGTTTGAAGGCCACACGAGACTTTCTGTCCATTTTCGTTTTTAATCATAACATCCCTCTAACCTTATCTTGATTTATAAAGGGAATTAAATTCAGAGACAGGAATGGTTGTTATTCTTTAGATTTGCTGACAACTGAAAGTAAATAACAATTATGCAGATATTGATCTTGATGGGCCCACAGCGGCAAAATGGCCAGAGGTGACGAGATGATGTAATGGGTGACTATATGAATAATATCACAAGGATAATTCACACAATAAATGAGAGATTTATTCATTCATTCATTCAATCATTCATTCATGTACATATTTATTTACTTATTTATTTATATCTTTTTATTGTTTTAGGGGAGGGGGTGTCACATAGCAGTAAAAAACGAATTGTTGTTGTTTAGATTTTAGTCAACACTATCCAATATTGATTTCACCATTTCACCACAAGTTGTAACCCTTAAGAGAAAGTCCATAAGTTGTAAAACAAAAATGAAAAATAATGAATATTTTTTTCTGACGACAAGTTGTTATCCTCTAGAAAAGAGCAAAAAGTCAAACCCAATTCGTCGTGCAGCATTATCAGATATCACCATAAGTTGTAACCATAATATTTCAACCCTTAAGAGTGAAAGGGGCACATTTCAACCTAGTGAAGGGGCACACGAATTGCAACAACAACAACAGCAACATAAAGGCTTCGGAACCGTTCCACGATCGTGCGGATCAGGTTCCATTCTCACTATGTCAAAAGCATAAATATACTTCTCAAACACAATAGTGAGGACACCGGGTGTTCCCGAAAGATAAGCATATCCTACCCACCGGTGGGACATATCACAATCACACTTCAAACAACCCAGTGCTTAAGACACACCATACACTAAGCACATCAAACGAACCATTCACATCTCATATGCATTAGAGCTCTCATATGAAATCGAGTTTTCCTCCGCAAATTCCAGCAATATTATGGTGTATGACGCTTGGGGTTATTGAAAACTTGTACCCATATGAGGAATCGAACCAAGGAGTTTTGACGTGAAGATCGAACGCTCTAACTACGAGGCTACCCACCGGCCCCATGTGCAACAGAGAATGCATATGCCAACTTCAATCAATATCTGAAAGTACGTTTCGTTCTCCCCAATTCTACCCCTACCCCATCTCCCCCTTCTCACACTACCAATACACCATACTGACACACCCCGCTCCTCCACCGCAGTCTGGATTACAATGTAGAATTACTCCTGGTTACCTACGTGTCTTCTGTCTTAGGAAGCAGGGACTTTGATGGACAAGCTAAGTGACTTTCATGGTGGTATGTCATCCGACACTGAGCGCCCGAGCTGATTGCTCACAAAAGAAATAACTACTCGACTAGACAGGTCATGACTAGATCAATTACTGACGGACGACACACTTCTGGAATATTACTGACTGCGGCGTAAAATAACAAGCACATGGCTTCAGCCACAACATGAGACACAATATACATTCATTTCTCAGTCTGTAGAATCATGCGGTACAGTCAGCTATGTCTCGTCAGAAAATGAAAAGAGGTGTCCGCAAAGAAGTCGCCTCAAAGATATTTTTACCAGATCGGACCAAAAACAATTACACTTTTTATTGCCTGTGTTGAACTTTACAAGTGTACTTCATTAATCTTTTACAAAACCTTCTATTTCAGAAAACGCCTCACGGCTGTGTGACGTCGGTGGAGTTTGGGCGAACAAATCAAATTACAACGACTGTTTGACTGTATACGAAGACCACCACCATGTTGATGTAAGTATACCCTCCTGTCCGCTCTCCCTCAAGCTGGAGTTTAGTAGAGGGGCATTATTTTCAAAGAGCCTAATCAGACAGAAGTATATATCAAGCCAAGAATGATGGGGTTCGCATGAAGAGATCGACAGATGCAAGTTAGAGTGAGGGGAGGTTTAAATCACTTTTAGCAAAATTCCACCAATACAAAACTGTACAGTATGGGGCTATGACGGAGTTCGCATATTACGCCGGGAATCGAACCCAGGCCTTTGATTTGAATTATCTCGAGCGAACGCTTGAAACACCACAATCACCCTGCGGATTCATTCTCAATAGAATTGTTTATCATGCCAGGGGAATACAACAATCCCTGTTTATACTAAGGCAGACTTAATGGACATTGGGTGATCAAAATGGCAAGTGAATGTGGACAACACCGGCTATGTGGACAACTTAATGACAAACTCCCTTAGGTAAGCCTGGGATGAATGCTCTCAACATTGACCACATGCCATGTGTGTTTCACTAAATGACCTGTTTACGCTGAAGGTAGAAGGTACTGAACGTTAGATATTAATGCCATATACCTGTACACCAGTGACTGGCAGCATGAAGCACGAACCCAGGCCCCGATTTCTTGAAACAAACTTAAGTTAAAGTTTTACTCAAATTAAAGAAAACGCATAAAAATGCATTTTCCAAAATTAACTGAAATCGATATTTAACTCAAACATAGGAGACAATTTGAGTTTAGTAGGTAGGTTACTTGAGTTGTTTGGGGTTTTGATTTTAGAAATGCAGCTGAGTTAGATATTCAGCGGTTTCAAATTATCAAACTCATTTTGAAAATGAGTAAACACTTAAGTTTGTTTCGAGAAATCAGCTCCATGCCTCCGGCTTGACGAGTTACTGTCTATTACCCAACTTTAACAACAGGACGTGAAGTTTTGATGCACAATATCGTTAAATCAAAGTGTCCACAGTTTAACAATACACTATAGCAGGGGCTGAAGATTTTATCACAATTTGTGGGCGGTATGTTGCATTCATTCTGTAAACCACATTTGCCCATGAACTGTAAATACGCAATTAGATTTGAACTTCAGAAACTCATGCTCGTCCTGAGAGGCGGCTAACGGAATCGGTTTGTCTTGTTCGATGTCTTGGTTTTATGCATGTCATCCTACCGCATTTGACTACATGGATGGCTTTCCATCACTGGATTGTCTGGTCCAGACGCCACTATTTACAAACCATCGTGATACTGCAGCATCAAGCAACAACAAAAAAATACAAATTTAAAGCATAGTGTTGTGTTCAGATACTGGTGTCACTACTATAAGACAATGGCATTTGAGGTTCTATATATGCATATAGAAGTTGGTATTCATGTGTAAGACAAAATATTATGGATGTCAACTTCTTCTTTATTGTATACACAACGTTTCTGAGCTATTCCTTGCCCCTTCGTCAGGCGAATGATAAAGAAGTTGACATCCATAATATCTTGTGTTATAACATGGTATTTGGTATGTGTTTATCATCTCCAATCTCAATTTACAACAGCTCGGAGGTCTGAACGATACATGCATAAATATAAACAGAATAAAAATATTTGTCAGGAAAGTTGCAGAATTGGAGTTTAGTGTACGCCGCTTTTAGCAATTTCTAAACAATATCACGGTGGAAGGACACCAGAAATGGCCTTCACACACTGTGCCCATGTGGGGAATCGTACCCGGGTCTTCTACGTAGCGGGCGAACGCAATAACCACTAGGCTACCTCACCTACAGATATAAGAAAACTAGATATTATTTCAAGTCGGAAAGAAAATTCAGGGCGGGTGGGAGATAAGAAACTCAGAAATAGATACGAAAGCCTTACCTGTTCTTGTATATCTATTTCAAACTATAAAGCTCACGCCCACAAATGCATAACGTTAGTGCGTAGATATCAGATTTTAATATTTAAAAATATTCTCGTCGCCATGTTGCTCAAACTACAAACTACAAAGCTCACTCCCTACATATAAAAGTTCCTTGATTAGCACAAAAGCATAAAGATACTTTAGTGTGTTGATAACAGTTGCAAACTTAAATCATACTTTCAAAGTGTGTTCCTTTGATATAAAACATTTTTTTAGTGTGTTGTTATTCTCATCGTCATATTTCTCAAAGTACATAGCCCACGCTCTGACATATAAATGATCCATTTACATAGCACAAAAGCCCAACTTTACTGTGTTAACAGTTTTTATCCAAAACCTATTCTACACAATATTGCTCAAAATACAAGGCCTCACGCCTTCACATACGTTATGACACTCCGTTAAACTTTAGGAGTGAGTAGGATACGTCAGTTTCAAATCCTGTCCGCCGAGTGTCGATTCTAACACTACCATTAACGTTATCATGTGGTTTCTTCATCAAAGATGTATACTAATGTCTGTTAACAGAAGAGATTTGAAAATCGACTCTCATTAACTTTTCAAATAGTTTCACTAATGTTGCCGTTGGAACAGTTTAAACTATTGAAAACTGTATTATCAAATTAACTGCTAATGTCAATGATTTAAAAACTTTATAATGTTTCTCAGAAACGCCCTCGCAAGAAGGTTTTCCAACGATTTTGTTAAATGTCACACATTCCGAGTCCTAAGATAGATGAGCTTCCATTGAAAACCGTGGGCACGCCAAGGTTGTCTGAATAACTGTAGGCGGTCACTGTGGAAAGTTAGCCCCAGTTGGGTTCGAATCCCATATTTACCCTGATTACCTAATTCTGATCCGTGGTTTATCATCACCATGCGACCACTCTAACGCCAATGTCCAGAATAACAATGGACTTTCGCTCAATAGATACGTTCTGGTATATCTCAAATACTGTTTAAGTACCGTCAGTGGTATACCTCAAATACTGTTTAAAGTAGCGTTAGTAGTATACCTCAAATACTGTTTAAGTAGCGTCAGTGGTATACCTCAAATACTGTTAAAGTAGCGTCAGTGGTATACCTCAAATACTGTTAAAGTAGCGTTAGTAGTATACCTCAAATACTGTTAAAGTAGCGTTAGTGGTATACCTCAAATACTGTTAAAGTAGCGTTAGTAGCAAATACTGTTAAGTAGCGTATACCTCAAATACTGTTTAAGTAGCGTCAGTGGTATACCTCAAATACTGTTAAAGTAGCGTCAGTGGTATACCTCAAATACTGTATTCAAATAAAGTAGCGTCAGTGGTATACCTCAAATACTGTTTAAGTAGCGTCAGTGGTATACCTCAAATACTGTTTAAGTAGCGTCAGTGGTATACCTCAAATACTGTTTAAGTAGCGTCAGTGGTATACCTCAAATACTGTTTAAGTAGCGTCAGTGGTATACCTCAAATACTGTTTAAGTAGCGTCAGTGGTATACCTCAAATACTGTTTAAGTAGCGTCAGTGGTATACCTCAAATACTGTTTAAAGTAGCGTCAGTGGTATACCTCAAATACTGTTTAAGTAGCGTCAGTGGTATACCTCAAATACTGTTTAAGTAGCGTCAGTGGTATACCTCAAATACTGTTTAAAGTAGCGTCACTGAAATACCTCAAATACTGTTTAAGTACAGTCACTGGTATACCTAGAATACTGTTAAGTAGTGTCAGTGGTATACCTCAAATACTGTTTAAGTAGCGTCAGTGATATACCTCAAATACTGTTTAAGTAGCGTCAGTGGTATACCTCAAATACTGTTTAAAGTAGCGTCAGTGGTATACCTCAAATACTGTTTAAGTAGCGTCAGTGGTATACCTCAAATACTGTTTGGTATACCTGGGGAATACTGTAGCGTCAGTGGTATACCTCAAATACTGTTTAAGTAGCGTCAGTGGTATACCTCAAATACTGTTTAAGTACCGCCAGTGGTATACCTCAAATGCTGTTTAAGTAGCGTTAAGTCTTTACTTACTCATTCACTCATGACATTTCTCTTTTAATCAATGACATCGTCATTGTCTCGCCTTGTCGGAACTAAAAATATATAGTCATTGAAATGTTTAAGTAAGGTATATTACTGGGTTTGTATTGGAGCAATCAATTCATAATGCGTGCTGATTGCTGTTTCAATTTGTCCCATGTGACCAAAGCTGGTCGTTGGGGGGTCTATATTCAATTAATCAGGCTGGATCAGGCGAGGAAGAGTTATGGTGAGGAAGAGTTTTTTGTATGTCAACTTCTTTATTATGAGGAACACAACGTTTTGGAGTATATGCCTACTCACGTGAATGGATGGTATGAGAGCATATATATGTACATTTAAAAGAACAACCAAACTAATAAGAAAACAAAGATGCAGGCTGAACAATGGAAGCCAACAGTTAACTGGCGTTGATATATGATTGGCAAAGGACAAACGTTAGCCACCACTTAACAGTTAATTAGCGCTGAAAGGACGCCAACACTTAACAGCTACTTAGCGCTGAATATAAATGAGCACTTAACAGAGAAATTCCTTCACGTTGCATTCCTCATAATAAAGAAGTTGGCATCCATATAAACTCTCTTCCTCACCTGATCGAGCCTGAGTGGAAGACAACACTTAACAGTTACTTTGCGCTGAATATAAATCAGCACTTAACAGTGAAATTCCTTCACGTTGCATTCCTCATAATAAAGAAGTTGGCATCCATATAAACTCTCTTCCTCACCTGATCGAGCCTGAGTGGAAGCCAACACTTAACAGTTAAATTAATTCACCTGATGAAGGAGTGAGGATAAACTCCGAAACGTTGTGTTCCTCATAATAAAGAAGTTGACATCCATAAAAACTTTCCCCTAATGTGTATCACTTCTAAAAGCCATTCAAAGACCTCGACCAGCTGGTTGACTGCATGCCATCGTGCCCCGCCAGTGTCAACTGTTGCTCACAGCATATATCGATTCTTTACTATCTGCTATCATGTAGCTGAAATATTCATGAGTGCGGCGTTAAACTACAACATTAAGATAGAAACAAATTTCATATTATTGCAAGTCGGATATTCGTTATATTGAGATAAAAATTAATGAGAGTCAGTGAAAACCACTGAAACTATTCAGTGTTATAGGGAACACATACGCTTGCGCGCCAGACAGGGGTTGGTTGGTTGGTTGGTTGGTTGGTTGGTTGGCTGGTTAGTTGGTTGGTTGGTTGGTTGGCTGGTTGGTTGGTTGGTTGGTTGGTTGGCACAAATCCATCTATATGGCGGCGGTCTGTAAATAATCGAATCCGGTCCAGACAATCCAGTGATCAACGTCACGAGCATCGATCTACCTAATTGGGATACGCTGACATGTGTCAACCAATTCAGTGTGCCGGACCATCCGATCCCGTTAGTCACCTCCTCTTACGACAAGCATGGGCTACAAAATATCAATTCTAACTCGGATCTTCACGGGTCACCAGACAGGGGTACAACAAGTACTAACTTTTAACCTCTCTTTGTATGACGAGTCGCGGATCGAACCTTCCCCTTTTCGGGGATAATGTTTGTACACCTGACCACAGAGGTAGTTTAATGCACACATACTGAATTTAAACTAGCGGTTAGCATCTAATCACTATCTTTAATATCCGGGTTTTAGCTCTACAGAGCTTCACGCTATCAGTCACTGGTTTGTGTGGCCCGACAGCGGTACATTACTATTCATACAGTTGTGGTCCGTTATGAAGGCTTTAATCCCACGTTAGGGAGTTTGTCAATATACTAGCCATCCGTGAAGGCTTTAATCCCCATGTGGGTCAATATACTTTTAAGGCTTTAATCCCACCGATCCCGTTATTTTAACTATCCGATCCCGTTAAGGTATACATGTATTTTAAAGGCATGAGATTCGAGATTGTTGAATTCCTGGCACACAGATACAGAATCCTGATACCATTTGGCCTTGGTCCGGTAACGCGGAAGTACCGGGTTCTTCATATAGGTACATTGAAACCCATGTCTGGCGTTCCACCCTCTGGAGTATTAGATTGTCGAACAGCGATATAAAACAAAACACCCAATTAAGAACCACCCGATTATCTGATTATCTGCCAATATAGATTCCAGTGGGTGTAAATACTAAACCAGGGTGAAAATTGTGTAAATGATTCACAAAAATCAGTTAAGACACCAGGTGTTGGCGATAAGGGTAAGCGTGTCACGTCCCACATGTTGCTGCCGCCTGTCCCACGATTTGCATGAATCGGTGTTTGTCTATTGTCTAGTGCATCACGTCAGTACCTCTGCCAGATAAAGTACATGTCGACAATGAATTGCCGTTATCTTTCCAGGGCTTTACACCGGACAAACTCGGAGTCAGGGTCATCTACAACGTCGGATTCACCGTAACAACAGTGGCCTTGGTAGTAGCTCTTGTAATATTTCTGTACTTCAGGTAAGTCGTCCGAATCGAATTGTAGTGTTCATTTCTTGCCAGTGAACCATTCAATTTACATAAATCTTGACGCTGGTAATCTCGAAGCTTGAGTTTAATCCGTCAGTCAGACGGACAGACAAGTAGACAGGTAGACTGACAATATATTGTCGGACCATGGGCCTATAGGTCATACCTATACGTGGACCATCATCTACCTGTCTCTTTCAGATGTATGTGTGCATATGGTATTGTGACGAAGCATAATAAAATAGAGACATAATATCATTAGTAGTAACAAAGCTTAATATGTAACATGTATCAGCACAGCAGCTGATTGAACATATGTGGTTTTAAATATAATCCAGTGATTGGATAAGCATACGATATCTGTTTTGAGTTTATATTCCTGTGAACCGAAAAATAGGCTAGCAGTCTGTTGGTCATCAGTCTGAGTGTGATATAGACCTCTAAAATGAGTTTGAAGGCCACCTGTGGCCCAGGTGTCTAACGAGCTGGAAACGCTAAATTTGCCTAAATCGATGCTCATGATGTCAATCACTGGGCTGTCTGGTCCAGACTGGATTATTTACAGACCGATCAATGAAATCAGCCCTCGTCCGTACTTACGCCATTTTACAAATAGCTGTGTCCTGATCCGTCATTGACTTTATATAACGTTTGATGTTTGTTCCTTGCGTAGATCGGTGCTCACGCTGTTGATCACTGGACTGACTCGATTATTTACAGGTCGCCGTTATATATACTGGACACAAATAGTTAGGGATATATGTAAATTTTGAAATTATGAACAATGATCTATTTATTCATTGACACACTGATAAAATATAAATCATAAAAATACCAGTATCCCTAACTTATTTTGTCCAGTATAGTTGGAATATGACTGATTTCGGCTGCAAACATCAAACAAACGTAAACATGGTAAATCAGATCTGGCGTTCTTATCCTAACCGTGATATAACCGACATGATTTTCAAAGCAATTTGTATATGAATTTTGATAAAATTATAACATATTGTACATATGCTTATATGCATTAACATCTCGTTGCAGGAGTTTACGATGTTTACGAAACAAGATTCACTGTCACCTCATCGTCACATTCATCTTGCAAAACGTCATGTGGGTGTTAATGCACAACACCTTGCTGCAATTATGGAGGTCGAAATACGAGGTAATCCCAGATATAGCTGATAGTGTTATTATCTTGAACAATAGGTGCGAGGCCCTGAAGATGCGTGAACACGTCCTCCGCGGATGTGAATCTGGAAACGGTTATACGATTAATATCATTAATGATTCAGCATCTGCTTCCACGGGAGATATCGCTTGGATGAAAATGCATTACATTGTTTTCCACACGTTTGTTACGCCACTGTTGCTTGACGTCACATTGTTACGTCACTGTTGCTTGACGTCACAATTACGCGATGTCATTCCATTTGCAATTGATTATAGCTGCTTAGTTGTTCCCTTCATACCCATGGCATGTGTTTCTGCTGTTACCAAACTGAAAAGATGATAAATAGAATGGTTGATAAAAATGTCATCCTCGAGCTATTTTGGATGAATATCTTTTGCTATTTTATATGATGAGTGAGTGAGTTTAGTTTTACGCCGCACTCAGCAATAGTCCATCTATATGGCGGCGGTCTGTAAATAATCGAGTCTGGTCCAGACAATCCAGTGATCAACAGCATGAACATCCATCTGCGTAAGTGGGAACTGATGACATGTGTCATCCAAGTCAGCGGGCCTGACCACCCGATCCTGTTAGTCGTCTCTTACGACAAGCATGGGTTACTGAAGGTTCATTCTAACCCGGACCTTCACGGGTTCTATTTTATATGATTCTGACAATCATCGTTGAAGGTCTTTCGTCTCGACAAACATCGGTTTTGTAAGGTGGGGTAGGTGACGTTGGAGGATGACATATATACTCATGCCAATAATGGTTGTCATTTCCCCTCCCCACCCCAACCCCACACACACCCCAAACACATCGGGAATACTTTATATATACTCATGCATGGTTGTCACCCCCTGCCCACACCCTCTCCAATAAAACAAATTGAAGGGGGTGACAACCATTATTGGCATGAGTATATAAAGTAATAAATGAAATTTGCCTTTTTTTAAGTAAGGCTTTCAGGCGTATGAAACCGTGGCGGAGAAAAATATGATATCACACTGTTGTTACAGATATTACTAATCACTCTAAACCGTCATTCTGTATACTTGTGAGCATGATCGTAAGGTTCCATTAGTCAAGGTGATCATTTTGCATATCTGGCCCCTCACGCTTGTGGAGCTTATAACACGTATTTGGAACTTTCTTCAAGGAGCGGTCTCTGGGGTTGTATTAGAGAAGCATCTTCGTTGTTGTATTAAGTGTGTGGTTGAGCAAGTGATAAACGACTTGAACTTAAGTGAAACAACGAATCAGCAAAGGTGAAATTCTGAAGTGATTAAAGTCTTAGACGTTGTCAAATTGAGACCCACCAACACGGTTAGAGGCCGACAAACCAAAAATGTAATCTGGGTAAATTCGACGGGTAATTATAAGGATTCTGTCACTACAGGATATGCGTTAGGAAGGAACAGGAATACAGTGTTTAGATTTCAATGTACGCTCTTGCATAGTAGTTGAAATACGCTTCAAGGATAAATGGTGTTCCATTTCAGTTAGTGAACAAGAGAAGTGGAGTATTGTCTACTTGTCAAACATTACAAGAATGATAAGTCTACTGTATGGTTAAGTACATGACCATCAACCTCCCGTTAGGTATGCGGTGCAGAGCCCTGACTCACACACACAGCGTTCAGTTGGGTGCCAAAATCGGATGATCAATCTGAGGTTCAGGAGGTAGGAGAATTTGCCGGCCACTTGTGTAGCAGGGTTACAAATTCAAAGACTTCCTCCTGGACGGGGATGATAGGCATGGACCATTGGAACACGCGTTTGTTCGTCCATGCAAATAAAGGGTTCAAGGTTCGGGGCTCATGGTCATCTATGCAAGGGTATTTTGTGGGTTCGTGGAGCCAGTGGTGGTCAAGCTGTGGTGTAAACTCCCTTCGTGTAGGTGTGACAGTATTCTATGATCATGAGTTCGAACACAGGCAAACTGTGGCACAAACATGCGAGCGAAGCAAACAAATGTTGGCAACATACTTCCCTCGCTTCGGTTCAAAAAATATTTTTAATATCAGAACAAAATATCGTCCCCACAAAACGCAGATACGCATTTTCTCACAGGGCTGTGCTCTCAGACTTCCAACCTCACATTTAATAATCACTCACGTAAAATATATTTTATTCAACATTTTAAGCGCCACTCGTGCCACATCAAATCGTTCTTCGCCTCCATTACCCCTGCCAGCTTCCGGTTCAACAGAGTGAAGGAACAAGAATAAGCAGAAATTGAAAAGAAATATTATATGCCTAATTTTACCATTAAACTGTTGAAGATTATTTATCTTATCTGCCGTCGTTCTTGTTAGAGTTTTCGTAACATGTATTCTGAAAACACACTTCTGACGTAGCGGGTGAATGAAACGAGAGGTAACTTTCCATATTGCGGACATGTGATTCAACAGGTATATTCAGATCTACCTCCCCTGTTTCTTTTCTACTACTTTTGAGGATATGTTTTCATAAGTCATTTTAACTATTCTGAAAACTCCACATGTTTATGTGGAGAAAGGAACATTATTCCGAACACATCTCAGCCCGGAAGCATATTTATCCGGACGACACCATAAAGCTTCTGTTCGCATTACAAGGTTTTACTGTCGCCACACCTAAATATGTATTCATGACGATATTATATTGTGTCTTTCCAGTGGATATGCAAGATCATTGTGACCCTGTACAACTACTTCCACGGAACCAATTTCTTCTGGATGTTTGTGGAAGGGTTATACCTGTTTACCATCATCGTGTGGGCTTACTCTGCAGACAAGATCAAGCTGTGGCACTACATGATAGTCGGTTGGGGTATGTCACAGATATAACTGTTGATTACAGGATTAAGTGGTTTTGTGAGGCCGACTTGGGAATGTATGGCAGAATATCGATGAAGTACGGAATACTGTAGGGGACATTTTCGCGTTCCCTATGTTCGCATCATCCGGCGACTTCGACCTTGAAAACATTATGTTAACTCTGATGTGTCCACATTTCGGATGTCTCGAAGTAAAAGTTGTTCCCTCTGCATTTTGAATTTAGTCATCTCCATGCGGTTGTATCGACCCTCAGACAACTCGATGGAAGAAGTTTGCCACAGCAGTGTTTGAATGTTGTATCTATTGAGACGGGGCAATAATGATACAAGATCCTACAGATTAGGGAGGGACGAATGATCGATTTGGGCCAAACTCTGCTTAGGGGCAATATATGGTTGTCATGTCTAGCCAGATTAATGTATCAACCATAAATACCTTTTGTGAGATCTTTTGAGAGGGTATTGACCGGACTGTTGGATAAGGGACACAACTGTGTGAAGCTAATAGGCCACTGTGTCCCGACAGCTGGAGACATCACCGGGACAATGAGTGCGTGAGTGAGTGAGTGAGTGAGAGACTTGGGAATGTATTGGGGGGGCTTATGGAGCTGACAACACAGCAGATTTGTAGGAGTTTCTTTTGCAGATAGTGAATGCTTAACTGTAAATACAAATAATTCACAACTGCTTACCTTGATGTTTACAACTGTTTTCTGGTTTTCAGGGATACCTTTCATATACACGATTGTATGGGCCGTGGTCAGATCGACGCTAGATGACTTCCAGTAAGTGCAGACCACATTTAACGTTGTCAGATGGCTACCAGAAACGTTGTCAGATTGTCACCTTGAAAGTTGCCTTAATGCTTGACTAAGTCAAATAATCATACATACCTTGTTTGCCAATGTTGGAAAAGCATGGGAGGATCCCTCACCCAGTCAAAGCCTCCAGCCATCCTGAACAACAGTTCATGCCACTCTAAAACCCTCTTTACCTATACCTGCCCTGCCCTGCCCTGCCCTGCCCTGCCCTGCCCTGCCCTGCCCTGCCCTGCCCTGCCCTGCCCTGCCCTGCCCTGCCCTGCCCTGCCCTGCCCCGCCTCGCCCCCGCCCCGCATAGGCACCAACCCAGATTAATGAACAAAACGATACAAATCACTGGGAATCTACACACCTTAGGCAAAAATAGTAGAGTTCATATGGATCCAGGTCCATCTTGCCTATCCTCTCCTGATTGGATTTGCTTTGGACTACCTGTGAAGCTATAAACAGATTTTTTGCGTTCAATAACGTGTCATTGAGTGTGTACCGTGTGTCTCATTTAAGAAGGGAAAGAATTTCTGATTCATGAACGTGATACTCATCAGGGTATTAATTACTCAACAGACTAAATTTCATTTTCATATTTTTTATGTTGGTCAGTAAACCAGCCAAAAGAAACTAAAAAAATCTTTCATATTGTAAACATGAGATTTAGGGTTTCCATTTTTCACTATATGTGGTCTGTGTGTAATTCAACTCTGAATTAGCTATGAGATACGTTTAAACAAAAGTAATATGATTGAACGATATTATATACATTGAATCGAAGCAGGGAGCTGCCGGGTATGATAGTATACAATTACAATTATTATAAATATCACATTGTGTGGTTTCAAATGTACCAGCTACTCGATTACGCGCCCGCTATGAAGCAGCAATAACGATGATCAGTCAGACATTTGTGGCTGATCCGTTTCAAACCGACTGCAGAGAATAAACGACCCGCTTCCTGTACGTGTAAAGGGGAGGCAGGGTGGCCTAATGGTTACAGCGTTCGCTGGGCACGCCAAGGTCCGGGTTTGATTCCGGGTAGAATGCGTGAAGCCCGTTTCTGTTACTCCTGCCTGGATGTTTTAGCTTAAATATTGCTAAAGGTAGCGTAAAACAGCACACACGTGCATGTAGTCAGTTCCTTGCTATGTAATAGTGTGATTTGCCTGCCGTTGGTCGAGAAAGCGAGCCGTCTCAATTTGAAGTTCGTTGGATTCCTACAAACAATATATTACCATAATTACCATGATAAATTATCATCATGGACTCGTAATAGGACTTGGGACTATTCCTGTTTATAATCCAATACTTGCTCCGACAGGTGATTTCGCCCTTGCGAGATCAAAGAATGAATGAGAAGAGATATTGCTTTCCTGATCACCTACTTGCTGATTGATCTCAGCGTTGGTTTGAGGTTCACATACCCAAATACATACAGAAATGAGTGTATTTTGGACTAAATTTTACTTCAAAACATTTAATTCCCTCCATGCGACGTGGTAACAACCAATCTTGGAAAACTCGTAATTTGTGAGAGAATAACTCAGTCCAAGATTAAATTGCATTGACTTAATATATAAAACGGACTTCACAGTACGATTATCATTTATTGACGTAATAAAGTTTGAGATTGGTGGCATTCTTCACGGATTAAACTTTGACCGATTTACCTTTGCGAAAATGAATATCGTCCAACATACATTGAACTGTTGAACACATAAATGCAATGTTTGGTAAACATGTTTTTTACAAAATAACTCTGCTTATGTTTCAGTCTAGAATATGTGTTTTAATTCGAGTGATGCACAACTGTTATTCTTAGTTCAAACCAGGGTATTAGAATTAATCCGGTGTTTGTTTCCCTGAGGGGTGACATGTATTGTATGATATATAATACCTCTACGTCTTTTGGGTGAAGGTGGTGTAGTCTTGTGGTTAAAGCGTTCGCTCGTCACGCCGAAAGCCCGGGTTCCATTCCTCACATGGGTACAATGTATGAAGCTCATTTCTGGTGTCCCCAGCTGTGCTGTTGCTGGAATATTGCTAAAAGCGGCGTAAAACCAAACTCACTCACTTTTGGCATTAAATAAATCAACATCTGTAGATGAGAGCACGCTAACTCCATGGCAAGGTCGAAAAGTCTTCTGTACTCGATTGACCCGCGAAGATCCGGGTTATAATTGGACTTCAGCAATCCATGCTTGCCGTAAGAGGCGGCTAACGGGATCGGTTGGTCAGGCTCGCTGACTGGGTTGACACATGTCATCGTATCCCAATTATGTAGATCGATGTTCATGCTGTTGATCCCTGGATTGTCAGGTCCAGATCCGATTATTTACAGACCGCCGCCATATAGCTGGAATATTGCTGAGTGTCAAACTAAAGCTCACTCACTCACTCAAGCACTCAAGACATTATTTTACGATGGAGATATTGAAATTATCATGTCGTTGTATGGACCTTCAGTTTGCAGTGTTTCTGTAGTTGTTTTCAACCAAATAAAATGGTTGTTTGTCAAATCCAGTAAAATGCTTTACATTGCAAAATGTTTATGGGTAATCAGGTATGTAGTAAGATATATATTGGGTTTTAGTGAAAACGGACCCCAGCGAAAAAGGCCCAAAAAATCGAGAAAACGGCCACCGCTGCTAGAGAAAACGGCACATAAGCCTAGAAAAAACGGCCATTATGTATAACAGAAAGTTACATGTAGTTTATTTTACTTTTATTCATCTCTCAGTCAATATTATAATAATATAACAATGATAACACCGTCTCTCACATTTCTTCAAAGAGGCCGTTTTCTCTAGGCTTAGGGTCCGTTTTCTCGTGGGCGGTGGCCGTTTACTCGATTTTTGGGGGGTCCGTTTTCGCTGGGGTCCGTTTTCTCAGTATCCCTATATATTGACACAACTAACTGATGCGATAGTGATGTGATTTCAGCAAATACAATAACACATCATTCAAATATGGTTCTAATAGGTCGATACACCATTGCAATCGCCACGCTATTTACGTTCTACTAAAACGACAAACCAATCGGTCTTCTCGCATGTACTTCCGCCCGAGAATCCCGGGTTTTTTTATGTACATGTTATCCATTCACTGTTTCGTGACATGTTAAAGATTGAATCGTGCGGTATATTACAGGTCTGTCACATTGCTTGTTAACAAAATGCATGCATGAAAATTGCGTGGGCCGGTCGTAAATTGACCATACTTACTTTTCCATGACCGCTAGCGCCGAGACGGAGCCCAGTCATTACAAACGAAAGGGGTGCTATTCGCCAATCTGCTGGTTCGGGAATGACACAAATAAATCACAAATGATCACAATTTCATGTAAACTGCGTAGTAATCTTGTCGTCCCACATCTCGTGTCTCTTCAGTTGGATTTCATCTTCCTCACTTCATTTTTTATTCATTATTTCATGTTCCAAGAATAACGGTACTAAAATACATTTTATATCGGTCTTGTGGCCGTGACAGAACATCGATCGTAACAAATCTCGTAAGCTCCAAGCCCCCGCTCAAAGAACAGGGTCCCCCTTCACAAAGCTATCGTAGCGCTACAACTGTCGTACTTCCTATACCATAGTACAGGTTACGACAGTCGTAGCGCTACGACAGCTTTGTGAAACTGGACCCAGACGTGCATGTACTCCAGCACGAAACATAGCAGAGTTACATCCCTTGCGTACCTTGACTGTGGGTTCGAATCCCGGGTCGTTTCGATTATGTTTCGTGGCTTGGGAGTGAGTGAGTATGGTTTTACGCCGCTTTCAGCAATACTCCAGCAATATCACGGCAGGGAACACCGTGAATGGGCTTCACACAAGTGGAGTGGTTGAGTGGGTTAGATGGCTCACTTTCTGTGCTGGCGATTAGATGCCTGACTCTGTGGGTGTGGGTTGGAATCCCGTATGAGACTAAACCCAACTAAAGTGCTAGAATCTGTACTTCACAGAGAAAGTGTAATCCCAAATATAACATGTGTTACATTTGACAGCTTTCTAAATGACACTCTATTCATGATCAAAGTAGGCTTTAACATAACTCACTGACTGACTTAATGGAGTCTTTGAGGTGGAGTTTACGGTAAACATGATTCTGCCCACAATAAGATAACATCCAGAATCGCCCAAAAGTTTGAAGCAACTTCCGGTTGTGATCGTCATACTCTTACTCAACTGGCTTCAGAAAAGAACAATTTTAGAACTTGACGTTGTGAGTAACGTCGCAGCAGTATGCCAGTGATGCAACGACGACACTTAGATCATATATACACATGTACAACACAATCACAAAGTCACCTTTAACAGCAATTTGTACATACACATTTACGTATTACAGCATAATTCACAGTTTAGAACATGGGCTGTTACAAGATTATTTACAGTTTAAAGCACGGCCTGTTAGCCAAACTTAAAAATGCGTACCTGGTTATGCACGTAAACAATTTTAGATTCAAGGACAATCCTTTTACTTTTCAAACTCTTGAAGAAAACAAAGTTTCATTTCAGACAGGAATTGTATAAGCCTTTATCGAATTTCAGAATACGCTGGGAGCAATATGACTGCTCCAAGCAATTGCACGCATATCATTGCTCCACACATAACGATGTGTAAATTAGAGAAAATGTCTGAAAGCAGCGAAATGAACGCTGCCAAGATTCATTATCATGAAGATGACCCCAGAGCCCTCAGTCACGAACCCAATTATTGGTTTTGGTCAAAAAGACTATTCACGTTTATATCTTTAAAATCACCATGCAGTTGATATTTTCATTTTGAAATAAACTAAATATGCCTGCAAGCTGATCAATGCCGCTATCAGAATTTGATCTATGCTGACATGTGCATTCATATTATTCATGGAACTCGTGGCAGTGAATTGCACGGACTCGAGGTTCAATTCCGCTACCTGTTTCGACCTAACAGTGCCATTTACGAAAGATGAAAATTTGAGAGAAGATATGTCGAAATTCAGCATTAGTGTTTGTCATTAAAGTGAAATGTGCGACATTGTCATTCAGATAGGATGACGATGCTATGTAGGTCAAAGAAACAAATTGGGCTTAAACATCTTCACATGTGTACGTTTGTTTCAGGATAAATCAGAATCTGGTTACTTTGATTTTGAAGGATACTTAAAGTGTCCATACTTCTATTACCTGTACGAAAACCATCGCAGTTTCGGTGTCTAATCATTAAATGAGTGAGTGAGTGAGTGAGTTTAGTTTTAAGCCGTTTTGTGGCAATATTACCTGAGGATATAAAAAAAAGCTTAAAAATATGGGAAGGGGTCATTGCTTTTGTAGGGTGGCATGCCGGGTAGGGTGGGTGGGGCACTAGCTCTGTACATAAATTTGATGGGGGTATTCAAATTGTACAAGCTTCTCCATAAATATCATCATCAACCTCCCGTTTTCGAATTAATATGGAAACTAAGGGACGTAACTCTGGTTGCCACGTTGTCGAGACCACTATATTCACATGTTTGAATGGCAATGACTCCATTAGGATTGTTGTTTTGTTATCCAGGTGTTGGCTGCCATCAGAGACACATTATGACTACATACTTCACGTCCCTATATTCTGGGTCCTGGTGGTAAGTTCATGACGTGCTTGTACTGTCAGTATCATGAATACGAGTTGTTCAGAGAACTGACGAAAGAGTAGATACAACACAGGTTTTGATAATTATGTATATTGGTCAATTAAACGATTTAACCTTTTAGCTCAGTGGAATCTGTTTCGTTGGATAATCGAGATTTAAAAAAAAAATTGCATATTTTTCCAGGTACACAGGTTGACATGTGTAAAAGTATACAGTTCAATACATACGTGTAAGGTTCATAATACTTCAGTATAATTGTACAGAGTCAATAACATCGTTACATGTACAACGAGATAATTTACTTACTCAACGGTTCTGAATAGCATGTGTAAACTTGACCATAGTTTTAGGAAGTTGGGTTCCTGGTCAAGATTAATGTGTACATATTTTGTGGTATTATAATATTGTATGATTTGTCTCTTGATGTATGAAACATTTGGAATGAAACCTTTCTTACTGCAGTTGTATATGATATTCTTGACTAAAATAATTATCGCATTTAATGTATAGTTATGCTTTCCTTTAATCCCAAACATTACCTGGGAGTTAGTAAGACTCAATTCTACGTCTACAGTTCTGAGCCATATTTTCATTTCACACCATATGCTGTCCACCATGTCACACTCCCAGAAGATATGATAAATTGTTTCGTCATGGTCGTTGCAAAAGGTACACATAGTTGATTTTGTAGAGGAAATGTCTGACTGGCAATATTCCGTGAATGGTTCTGTACTGCAACCATCTTAACTCGGTGCTTGTAGTTCATTTATTTGCGATCGAGTTGAAACATTTCAAGTCCGAACAGTGTGAACCAGTGACGTGTTCCTACGTATATAGCAGGGGAGTTGAACAAAGCGTGAATCAACTAACATATCATATACTTCCTGATATCCCAGGAGAGTGTTTGTACATTTCATTATAAACGGATACACACGATTACATAATTTACGTCCGGATAAAGTAATGAATGTTGAATTTGCATAACATAAAACTGCTCGTTTAACGCCATCATATTTAAGAAAGTGTGTTTCTAGGGTGTATAAGGCACAAAATTCTTCCTTAGAATAATATCTCCCGTTTTCATTCAATAAGTCGTTTGTGAATATTATACCTTGTTTGTCCCAGATTTTGTAAGAAATAGTCTTATTTTCAGCTTTTATGTTATCATTATTCCAAATACTTTGAGAGAGAAGGGCGCATTCAGTTTTTTCATGTCCTTTGTATCTACTAACAATATTAGACCAATCTTTAAAGACTTCTATCCAAAATGGGTTTGAAATGGCAGGAATCATTCTAATTTCGATATATGTATTATCTGATATCCACAATACATTCTGGCTGTGTAATCTATGCATTAATAATAATTTGATGAGGTACTTTGTAATCTCTCTAAACATTTCAAGTTTTGCGAAGATATAACATTTTAAGTCCTCGAAACTTTAAGTCCCCCATATTCCGGATTTAGAACAACAGTATATCTTTTACATGTACATTTATCTGGCTTGTTTCGCATATTTTGGAAATTGTCTATAACAGTTTCAGGTGGTCGGGGAAGGGCAGAAAACAGATGGTTTAACTTGGGCAGGAGGAGAGATTTTAAAACTGATTTTTCCATAAGGTGTTAGATTTCTTGCTAACCTGATGTTCATTAGGTGTTTTATTTGTAGGAACTTTTCTTCATGATTTAATTGGCTCATGTTGTCCATATAAGTATCGAAGTCTATTCCTAACAGTTTGAAATCGGTCTGAGACCAGTCAAAGTTCCACGCCTTACATAGTTTGATACGAGATCGTTTCTTGGATCCTGTCCAAGTTAGTCTTGTTTTTTCTACATTAACCTTTACACCAGAAAAGCGTGCGAAAAGTTGCAGGGTTTTTAAGACGGCGTATAAACATTGTTCAGATCCATCAAGTGTCATTGACGTATCATCAGCAAACTGAGACAATAAATACTAGATAATCGACACTTCTTAATCTCTGGTGATGATTTTCTATATGTATTTAGACACGTTTGGAGGATTTAGGTTATTAAACTGCTGTCATTTGGGATTGTCGTTAAATAGATGTAGCTTATGGTGTCAATCATTGGATTGTCTGGTCCAGGCTAGAATGTTTACATACCGCGTCATACAGCTGTAATACTGCTGAATGTGGCGTCTAATACATACTCATGGAATAGCTAGAATTGTACAGTCGACTCAGCTTTTAGCAGAGATTTCTTTTGGATGTGGAAAGGATTTTGTCTTTTTTTCCCAATTAGATACATGTATTGCACATTAAGACAGCTTCTCTGGAGAAAGTCGTAGTGACATTGGAAACCGAAGACATTTAATAATTTGCTGAAATGTTGTTGACGGAGGGATCATTTGTATGATTGGGATTCGAACCCGCGTGCATAGGATCCGGTCACTGTTGAGGAACGCAACTCTATATTAGATAATTCCAGCATCTTCAGTTTCGTATGCACCATGCACCTGGTACATTGATATGTTCATTAGCGTCTTCAGGAAGATAGATCAATCCTTGGGATTTCATTTGCCGCCGTTCAACACTGGCATTCGAAAACATTGCCAATTAAAATACAAAAATATTCTGATTAATTTTACAAATTGAACATACTGACATGTGGACTTCTGTTGATTTATCTGTTTGTGTGTCTTTTACAGAGTAACATTCTCTTCCTGTCTGCCATTATCTGGGTCCTCATCACCAAACTCAAGGCCTCCCACAATTTGGAGACACGCCAATACAGGTACACGCATACTTCGCACATTTACATAGCCAGTTCGTGAGCATGGTGACATTGTGTTTGTGTGAATGTGTTTGTTTATTTGTATCTGGTAAACATGGACAAATGTATCGAAACACGCCATATTTATTAGCATCAATATCATTAACCATAGAAAATGAACTTGTCGAAATCTCAATTTAACTTTCTATCTGGATATATTGACCCTCAAGGAATAGTTACATGACAAATCTCAACACAAAAAGAACGAACAGCTGTAGTTAAAAACAGCAAATATGGCGGAAAATTGACAAGTGCTAATAGCTATCATCGTATGACGTTAGAAGTGCTGACATGATCAAGATTCTGGCATACAATCCTCAAGAAATGACACATGCATCAATAACGAGCGCGATGTCAATATCTGATGTAACCTCCGCCAACTGCAGTAACATCAATGATAATCTTCTTCATTGACTGCACCAGACGTTGCATTTGACGTTGACGTATTGCGTTCTATTCTTGATGGAGGGCTTGCTCCAACATATCAAGATTTTGTACTGGTGGATAGCTCTGACGTATTCTACGACCCATAATGACCCACACATGCCCTCTGGCATGGAGAAATGGACTCCTGGAAGTCCGCCTCTTGACGTAAGAAAATCCCCAACGGCATGTGGACGGAGTTAGCTAACATTGTCTTGCATGAAGAATGGCCTTGAGCTCAGAGGATGGTTATCGAATTGTGGTACAGCAACCCTGTATAGGATGTCAGTGATGCACCGCTGTCCATTCCGATTTTGTGTAATCGCCACAAGGTCAGGTTTACAGTCACGTGAGAGGCACCCCTAAACCACCAGTGAACCCCTGCTATTCGGTACTTGCTCCAAGATATTCCGTTGTGTATACGCATTGTTTCTGCGGCGCTAAATATGAACTTGATCATCAATCATGAGCAAACGAAATCGGCTTTCTTCCGACCAGAGGACCCTTCCATATGACGTCAAATTCCAGTGACGGCGAGCTGACAACAAACCAGCTGTATCGCTTAGCGCTCTGGGGATAACAACAGAAGCGACCGATTTTAGGCGACTTCGTCACACCGTTCTGTAGCAAGTACATGCCGAAATTAAGTGAAAGGGTCAAACTGTTACTATCAATATAACTGTCTATATGAGGGTTTAAATCGTAGGTGTTGCGATACTTTTTTCCATGTGTACATATTCATGTGTCTGCAAATATGCTCGTTTATTTCTATATGTGTATGTGTGTGCCTGAGCGAGCGCACGTGTATAAATATTCACGGATGACGATTATGCTAAAAAGTCTTGGTTCGACTCAGGCTTGTATGTGAAGCCCTTTTTTTGATATTATCCGCAATAATATTTATTAATGTGTTAAATCGGTGTATAACTCTACTCAGTTAGTAACAGATGATGACTTAGAGAGCACAATGCTTCGCACATTTCCCTCGGGATAATAAAGTATCATCTTATCTCATCGTTTTTTATCTTATACAATTAAAAAAAAGTTAAAGAACACCATATCCTTATATTACTAGTTAATGGTATTAATGTGAGCGAATCGATTTATCCTTATCTTCTTTTGAATAGTATATTTAATTCTTTATCCCAACGTACTGCAAGCTGCGATGTTAGTCTCATATCAAGTTTCTCTTCCTAGTTTTACAATGTAAAATTGAAATATAAAACTGTACTGTGAAATCCAAACAGTTTTATGTGTATCGTTTCTTCAGAAAGGCTGTGAAGGCAACCATCATTCTCTTTCCTTTGCTGGGGGTCACCTACGTGCTTTTCTTGATTCCACCCAGCAACGACCCCGTGGTACAGAACGTGTTTCAGTACGCCAACGCATTTCTTCAGTCATTCCAGGTAAAACCTTTCTCTATAAAACACTGCCAGGTCTCTCAAACACTCGACTGGAAAATGCAAATTCGTTTTTGATATTCCAAATCTTTGCTCGAGGAAAAAACCTGAGCTTTTGCCAATGTGTTTTGCATTCCAATCAGATACCCTTTTCCCAAAATAACTAAGATGGCCACGTGATCGCTAATTTAGAAAATCTCCGTATTACGTCGAACGTGTCTGGAATAGAAATGTATATCGACCAATCAATGACTTTGTACAGGAAACGTAGCAACAAACATGAACACTTATGCACCAGACACGATCTCTCGAAATTAATGACCTACACACATTGTTTCCTCACAACTAATGATCTAATATACACTCTTGCCTCGGAACTAAGGGTCTAAAGAAAATTTTGTCTCGCAAATAATGATATACAGACAAAAGTTCTTCCAGCTAATGGCGTTCAAATATTGGTTCCTCTCAGCTAATGGATCTTTGCAACTACTGACCGATAGTCAACGATCCTCGCTGTAATGACAACGGTTCCTTACATCTCACGACCACTGGACGAGATCTCACGCAACTAATGACCTACTGACAATGCCTGATAGCAATATTGACTGACATACACTGGTACCTCGCAACTTCAGACCTCTATAAGAGGTTTCTTCGCAACTAATGAAATGCCTCATCATAACTAATGAACTACTGACAATGCCTCCTTGCAACTAGCGACCTGCAGACAAAGGTTCCTATCAACCAGCGACCTGCAGACAAAGGTTCATAGCAATCAGCAACCTGCAGACAAAGGTTCATAGCAACCAGCGACCTACAGACAGAGATTCCTCGCAACCAGCGACCTGCAGACAAAGGTTCATAGCAACCAGCGACCTACAGACAAAGATTCCTTGCAAATAATGACCTGCAGTCAAAAGTTCCTAGCAACCAGCGACCTACAGACAAAGGGTCCTTGCAAATAATGACCTAAAGACAAAGGTTCCTTGCAACTAATGGCCTACAAAGCTTTCTCACAACTAACAACCAACAGACAAAGGTTCCTCGCAACTAATGACCAACAGACAAAGGTCTCTTACAACTTACGACCTACAGACAAGGGTCTCTTACAACTTACGATCTTAAAACAAAGGTCTCTTACAATTTACGACCTACAGAAAAGGGTCTCTTACAACTTACGACCTACAGACAAGGGTCTCTTACAACTTACGACCTACAGACAAAGGTCTCTTACAACTTACGACCTACAGACAAAGGTCTCTTACAACTTGCGATCTTAAGACAAAGGTCTCTTACAACTTACGACCTACAGACAAGGGTCTCTTACAACTTACGACCTACAGACAAGGGTTACAGCTGACGACCTACAAACAAAGGTCTCACACAACTTACGACCTACAGACAAAGGTCTCTTACAACTTACGACCTACAGACAAGGGTCTCTTACAACTTACGATCTTAAGACAAAGGTCTCTTACAACTTAAGACCTACAGACAACAAGACGATCTTAAGACAAAGGTCTCTTACAACTTACGACCTACAGACAAGGGTCTCTTACAACTTATGACCTACAGAAGAAGTCCTCTTACAACTTACGACCTACAGACAAGGGTCTCTTACAACTTACGACCTACAGACAAGGGTACCTTACAACTTACGACCTACAGAGACAAGGGTCTCTTACAACTTAAGACCTACAGGCAAGGGTCTCTTACAACTTACAAACCTACAGACAAAGGTCTCTTACAACTTACGACCCAAAGCTAAGGGTCTCTTACAACTTACGACCTACAGGCAAGGGTCTCTTACAACTTACGACCTACAGACAAGGGTCTCTTACAACTTACGACCTACAGACAAGGGTACCTTACAACTTACGATCTTAAGACAAAGGTTTCTTGCATCTTATTACGTAACTAAAATTGTTTCTAGCTACTAGAAACTTAATATCCGCAGTTCCGTTTGACAATATGTAAGTCACTGACATGCCTTGAACTAATGGGAAAACAGCAGTTTGCACTCACTTTAGGTAACTTCTTACCAGGCAGTAATGGTATTATATGTCTCAAGAGCGACATAACATTATTTAATTTGGTATCTTTACAATTATGTGTAAGATATAAAATACAGAGTGAAAGATTAACTCATTTACCAGTGCTGCTGACAAACGAACACTTAATCGATTTTCCGTACCTTTACTAGCGTTTTTGAACACACACTCAAAATTCTCCTTTTTTCAAACTTGCTGGCATTACCAAACCAATATGTAAACATATAACATCAACCCCTGAAAACAAGCCGCGATTATCTGCCGAGACAGATTACATTGAGCGTAAAAGGCAAACATTGCGGTTATTATTCTCTCAATGGATCACTGTCAGCCTTAGATGAAGCCTAGTGTTCGCGAAAAGGGTAGGTACATAACGTTCACATTCAGGGACATTAACTTGATTCAGTATACGTGTTCGGAAACACATCTATGTGCAGAACACAATGGGTACTCCTTACACTTTAATGTTCGCCAGTAGCCTTCGCCTGTTCCCAAGATGACAATTGTCACTGTGTCCATTAAACTACTTAATGGCTGACCAGTGAGACACAATGTCATCATGGCATTCTCCCTCGGGGGTATTAATCTACTTCTTTACCGACATTATAATGGTTAATCGTGACTGACTGACTGACAGCTTCCTCCCTAGTCCATTGTCATCCACGTGATGGGAAATTCACCTCTTGTTGGGAGGTGTTAGATTCAAGCGAATTGATATCACAGTCTTTGATAAGAGCTCTCAAAACACAGCTTTACTTATCAGGTCTTGAAGTTTTTGAAAGACATTTAGACGTTGGACGAACATGAATACATGACACGTTTGGGTGTCATGAAACGTCGTGTAAAGAATATAAAAGAAGTTGACTTGTTGTCCATTAAACGTGTCATGTATTCATTATCAGGTCATGTTCTATCTCAGTCTCGCAATACAACTACGTACTTTGAATACACAATGCCATGGATACGCAATGCCATTTAGCAAGTGGTCCAATGGAACATATGTTATATTTGGGATTACACTTTCTCAGTAAAGTGCCTATTCTAGTACTTTTCTTAACACACACTCTCAGAGCCAGGCACCTAATCATCAGCACACAAAGTCCACTCATCCTCCGCTGCTTCCACTACGTACTTACAATAATTAATTGTATTCTGAACGGATGGAACGCCATCATCACAACCACCTGCCATCTGTTATGAGGGATTTTGGGATAGCCGAGTAGTTAAATTGTTCGCTCGTCACGGCGAAAGCCCTGGATGAATTTCTTACGTGAGTACAACGTGTGAAGCCCGTGATGTTGCTGGGTTATTTCTAAAAGCGGCGTAAAACCTTATTCGCTCACTTGAACTCAGTGGTCTGCAGGGGTCAATGAAAGGTTTTACCTCGCTTCAAAACAATATTCCAAAATATAACAGACTGCCAGGTCACACATTGTACGTATCCGATCATCAAACTTTCTTTATGGGTTACTGTATATATTCTCTGTCGGTGCTAATGTAGATCCTATTAAGTGTAGTGATGGTATCTTATAACTGTTTGAACGAATTGAACAATGTATAAAACGTACTAGCAATACATAATACCCCAAATGACCTCAGAAAATTTGACTTTAGAATCGAACCCAGTTTTCCGGGATCGTCAGTGAAAACTTTAGCCACAAGACTACCATAACCTCTAAGAAACAGGGCGGTGGGGTAGCCTAATGGTTAAAGCGTTGGCTCGTCACGCCGAAGACCCGGGTTTGAATCCCCACATGGGTACAATGTGTGAAGCCCATTTCTGGCGTCCCCCGCCGTGATGTTTCTGGAATATTGCTAAAAGCGGCGTAAAACCAAACTCAGTCAGTCAGTCAGTCTAAGAAACAAATACAGTCAATTAATCAGTAAGCAGACCGTCATGAAATAGAGCAGTGCATCCATGTTCATGAATACCACACACAACATCCACAAACCAAGAGCCCTGTGATCATTCTCGACAACTAATGATGCCCACTAACCACCTGATTTATATATCAATTCCGCCACCAACACAATCCATAATTGTTAATTGTTAGCCTAAATACCCAATTGCTTCTAATTCTGAATTCTCCTGCCTTCTTATCCCAATCTTTATAGTGTCCCTAGTCTGATGAATGGTTTCGTTGTCCACTGAACTAGAGATAATACCTCTCCGAGACGTGATTATCAGGAGAAATGTGTACTCAGGTGCCTGATCCGCCCTATCGCCATCCCCATCTTCAGAGTGGTCAGTGTTATAGAGGAACTGAATGTATTTATCTGTCTGACTGTGCTCTTCGGAGTATTACAGCAATTAATTGTAATGGCAATAGCTGGTATTTAGATTATAACATTTCTTGTGAGGTTTTCAGTTTTGTCATTTAAGCTCATGTGTGTATTAGAGACACATTTGTACATTGTGCACTCTAGATGTTACACATGCTGATGTGATTCTATGAAACCGGCATTGTCTGACGAACACTAAATGTTCAAATAACGTTGTTAATAATTATAATAATGATGATAAGCATTGTCTGACGAACAGCAAATGTACAAATAACGTTGTTAATAATTATGATGATGATGATAAGCATTGTCAGAGGAACAGCAAATACACAAATAACGTTGTTAATAATCATGATGATGATAATAGGCATTGTGAATGGAACAGCAGATGCACACATAACGTTAATGTCCATCATATCATCGCCATCATCTGCATCGTAACGATAATAGAAGTACGGAATTTCTTTAACTGAAGGTATTGATTTTATTAACTGAAGTAAGCAGCATGGCCTGATCTAACTACAGCCTTTTATCATCTCATTTCTCACACCTAAAATACACATAGTCCTTATGTTCCACAGTCGTTATTATAGAATTTGGTTTGGAATATGCTTTCCTTAATTGACAGTGGCCTGTACAGTGTATTACAACTGTTTTGTATATATAGGCTGGTAGTGTGTATATTTACAAGTTTTTCAAATATTAGAGAAGGCTACATTATAAAAGAAATCGATATCAAGACAAGCCTACGCCTTTTGTCAGTATCAACAAAGCTTTGTTACCAAGGCAACATATCGAAAACACTGGTACAGTTATACCACGTAATGTAAATCGGAAATTCATTGTTTTTGAATATTTACAAACAACAATACCACGATCATGCTACATATAAAAATATGGCGGACTTTGTGAATGAAACGAACGCATGGGGCCAGGTATAAGGCGTATACGTCATGCAGAGTTATGTCCCTTATTGGATTCTGAATTTGACGATATTACGTTTGTTTTATTGGCATCGAGATTCTGCTATGAAATTTCATCTGAGAATTTCATTTTCATTATTTCTGGGTTGACATATACATTTACACGCCGTTATTATAGTGAGAATATTGATGTGCTGTATCGGTTACTGGGAGTGGTTGATTCCGATACCGACCCCCTTCAAAATCATAAATGAATAGATAAGTAGATAAAATAAAATAAATAATTATAAATTAAAGCAGCCCCGAGGACCGTGTGACGTACATTTAGCGCGGCTTGACTGCAATCTAATTATGGAGGTTAATGTTACTGTGGCACCCAACATCTAACATCACTAGCACATTTAGAGTCAGATGTCATACGGCAAGCAGTACCATTCAAAACTAAGCAAACTGCGAAATGTTCTGTTGAAAATCATTTCAAGACTGTACATTTCTGGATTTGTCTTTTTTTCTTTGTTTGTTTATTTGTTCCAACATCAATGCAGTCGACGTAAATAACCGCACTTGACATACTATGTTATGTCATTTAGTGTGTAGGTTGGGGATCGTTTAACATTTCAGCATTTTTAAATATAGACTGTGATGATATGTTTCTTTACAGCGATGGCAATTTGGAATACGATATGTTCGGTGTATGAATCATCGGCTAGAACTGGAATGAGTGTTAATATCTTGTTGATTTCAGGGTCTGTTTGTGGCGGTGTTCTATTGCTTTTTAAATGGCGAGGTATGTATAACATTTACACGGATTGTGATATGAGTGAGTGCAGCCAATTTTAGGAAACATTTACCACTATGATGTACAGACGTATGTGAAAATGAGACGTGTGGGTGGGTGAGTGAGTGAGTGAGTGAGTTAAGATTTGTAGTCACACCGGCAGTATTTCTGCTGGACCGTGGCTTTATCAAGTTCTATAGTTCTACTTTTTTATACAGAAACGCCATTAAAGGACAGTGTAATAATTACCAATATATCACAGACTGATATAAATCTACTAATTGGCAACATACAATGTAATAGGCGGCTACAGATCTTCAGCAACAAAGGTAAGGTCACCACACTATGGACCATGGGGATCCACTTCTGTTACCTGTGTGGCTCCTCGTCAGGATTGACACCCATTCCTTATATTTCTTCCTGGCGAGTGTCACATGTTTAGTCAGAGTGTGAACTCAACAAATATTTTATGCTTTAAAACTGAGGTAGATGTAAATATACTTTGAAATTCATGGCCTGACACATCCAGTCGGGGATGATTATTATATGCTATATAAAATTCAATCGAAAGTGTAGCCCATAACGATCTCAGTTATGAATATATTCTACCAATGTTGACATATACTCCTTCAAACAAGTATGGGAACGCCCTATATTTGGTAGACCTCAGATTATATATAACAAATACTAATAAATATAACACTGATACATTGTCTAGTGGTGTCATTTTAACAATGCAGATGTAAGGTATCCACACATGCAGGTAAAACCCTTTATGATCGGATATTGGTTGTGTTTGGCGTCGGTCAATGTGGCCCAAAACAAATGAGAATGTGCTCAAATGCAAACAGGTGAACTGTCAACGGAGTGTCTCTGCAATGGCAAAACATGCATGCATGTGCATTCGGGAACTTGGGGATAAGACTGCACCCATGGGTATAAAGCTGACGTTGCAGAAATTTGGTCTGTGTTCCCTTTTTGATTCGGTATGGTGCGTCGACCTCTGAGTACAGAAGATCGTGGAAGAGCTATTGGGTGGCGTCAAGATGGAGTTAGCTTCAGAGAAATTGGAAGACGCCTGCAGAGGTCCCCATCTGTAATTCATCGTCTATGGGAACGATTTCAGGCAACTGGAAGAGTCCAGGATCGACCACGCCGAGGTAGACCAAGATCCAAGGGCTGATGATCGCTATGTCGTTTTGCTGCGTGAGAGGTTCATCACCGCCAATGCTCTACGACGACGTCTTCGACAGGCAACACATGTGAACGTCAGCACACAAACCATTCGGAACCGTCTTCGTGTCGCTGGTATCCACAGTAGACGTCCTGCTGTTAGACCAATTCTTCTTCAACGTCACAGACAAGCCCGGCGTGCATGGTGTCGTGCCCATTTGCGTTGGAATCGCCAAGAATGGGGTCGAGTGTTGTTCACTGACGAACCCCGCTTCAGTTTAATGTTCCAAGATGTTCGTGTGTTCAGAAGGCGCGGTGAACGCTTCCGGGATGCCAATGTCTGGAAGCATGACAGGTTCGGCGGAGGGTCGGTGATGGTTTGGGGTGGCTTCAGCTTGCACCACAGGACTCCCCTTTATCACATTGAAGGCAATTTGAATGGTATTCGATACAGGGACGAGATTGTTGGACCCCTTGTGATTCCGGCTCTTAACGCCATTGGACCTGGTAGTGTGCTTCAAGATGATAATGCCAGGCCTCATCGCGCACGTGTTATTGACTTTCTCAAACCAAAGAGGTGTTCAGAGAATGCAATGGCCGGCTTATTCGCCTGATCTCGCCCCAATTGAACATGTCTGGGACATTTTGGGCCGACGTGTTCGTGAAAACCACCCTCCTCCTGCTAACCGCCAACAGATGGTTGCATTTCTTCAACATGAATGGCAGCCAATACCACAGGCAACACTACGGACACTTGTCAGATCCATGAGATCTCTCTGTGACGAATGCATCCGAAACCATGGTGGGCACACTCATTATTAACAGAGTGTTATGACCTGTGACTTTTAAAAGGACCCTCTTCACTTGCAAATCGCTGTACGGATATTGTTTGATGATTTGGTTGTAACTGTTAATGAAAATGAAATCATTAACTATCGTACTATTTCCAATTATATAAAGTTTCCGAGCTGTTTTTAAACTAGGAAGATATTCTGGAAATATTGGGTGTTCCCATACTTGTTTGAAGGAGTATATCATGGAATGTTCACTGCTTTTAGTACATATGTATTTCGATTGGGGAAATGGTTATGTGGTTTTAAATAACACTAGACACGTGTACCTTAGACCACGACTGTCCTATCTTACTGACTAACTATTATGTCTTTACTGGGTAACTATTATGTCTTCACTGGGTAACTATTATGTTTTTACTGGGTAACTATTATGTCTTCAATGGGTAACTTTTGTGTCTTCACTGGATAACTGTCTTTACTGAGTAACTATTATGTCTTCACTTGGCAACTATTATGTCTTTACTAGGTAACTGTTATGTCTTTACTGGGTTACTATTATCTCTTTACTAGGTAACATTATGTCTTTACTAGGTAACTATTATGTCTTTACTGGGTAACTATTATGTCTTTACTAGGTAACTATTATCTCTTTACTAGGTAACTATTATGTCTTTACTAGGTAACTATTATGTCTTTACTAGGTAACTATTATGTCTTTACTAGGTAACTATTATGTCTTTACTGGGTAACTATTATGTCTTTACTGGGTAACTATTATGTCTTTACTAGGTAATTATTATCTCTTTACTAGGTAACTATTATGTCATACTAGGTAACTAATATGTCTTTACTAGGTAACTATTATGTCTTTACTGGGTAACTATTATGTCTTTACTGGGTAACTATTATGTCTTTACTAAGTAACTATTATGTCTTTACTAGGGTAATGTCTTTACTGGGTAACTATTATGTCTTTACTAGCTAACTGTTATGTCTTTACTAGCTAACTATTATGTCTTCACTGAATAACTGTCTTTGCTGGGTAACTATTATGTCTTTACTGGGTAACTATTATCTCTTTACTAGGTAACTATGATGTCTTTACTAGGTAACTATTATGTCTTTACTGGGTAACTATTATGTCTTTACTAGCTAACTGTTATGTCTTCACTGAATAACTGTCTTTACTGGGTAACTATTATGTCTTTACTAGGTAACTATTATGTCTTCACTGGGTAACTATTATGTCTTTACTAGGTAATTATTATGTCTTCACTGGGTAACTATTATGTCTTTACTAGGTAACTATTATATATTTACTTGGTAACTATTATATCTTCACTGGGTAACTATTATGTCTTCACTGGGTAACTATTATGTTTTTACTGGGTAACTATTATGTCTTCAATGGGTAACTTTTGTGTCTTCACTGGATAAATGTCTTTACTGTGTAACTATTATGTCTTCACTTGGCAACTATTATGTCTTTACTAGGTAACTGTTATGTCCTTACTAAGTAACTTTTCTGTCTTTACAGGGTAACTATTATGTCTTTACTGGGTTACTATTATATCTTTACTAGGTAACATTATGTCTTTACTAGGTAACTATTATGTCTTTACTGGGTAACTATTATGTCTTTACTGTGTAATATTATGTCTTTACTGGGTAACTATTATGTCTTTACTAGGTAACTATTATATCTTTACTAGCTAACTGTTATGTCTTCACTGAATAACTGTCTTTACTGGGTAACTATCATGTCTTTACTAGCTGGATAACTGTCTTTAATGTGTAAATATTATGTCTTTACTGGGTAACTATTATGTCTTTACTGGGTGACTATTATGTCTTTACTAGCTAACTGTTATGTCTTCACTGAATAACTGTCTTTACTTGGTAACTATAATGTCTTTACTAGCTAACTGTTATGTCTTCGCTGGATAACTGTCTTCACTAGGTAACTATTATGTCTTTACCGGGTAACTATGATGTCTTTACTAGGTAACTATTATGTCTTTACTGGGTAACTATGATGTCTTTACTAGGTAACTATTATGTCTCTCCTAGGTAACTATTATGTCTTTACTAGCTAACTGTTATGTCTTCACTGAATAACTGTCTTTACTGGGTAACTATTATGTCTTTACTAGCTAACTATTATGTCTTCGCTGGATAACTGTCTTCACTAGGTAACTATTATGTCTTCACTGGGTAACTATTATGTCTTAACTAGGTAACTATTATGTCTTCACACGGTAACTAGTATGTCTTCACTGGATAACTGTCTTTACTGGGTAACTATTATGTCTTTACTGGGTAACTATTATGTCTTCACTGGGTAACTATTATGTCTTCACTGGGTAATTATTGTGTCTTCACTGGGGTAACTGTAACTATTTGGGTGTGTCTTTATTGGATGACTGTCTTTACTGGGTAACTTGGCTGGGTAACTATTATGTCTTCACTGGGCAACTTTATTACTAGGTAACTATTATGTCTTCACAGGGATTAACTATTATGTCTTTACTATATAACTGTAAGTAACTTTTCTGTCTTTGGGGTAACTATTATGTCTTTTACTACTTTACTTAATATCTTTACTAGCTAACTGTTATGTCTTCACTGAATAACTGTCTTTACTGGGTAACTATTATGTCTTTACTAGCTGGATAACTGTCTTTAATGGTAACTATTTGTGGGTCTATTATGTCTTACTGCCTTTACTTGGTAACTATAATGTCTTTACTAGCTAACTGGTGGATAAACTATGATGTCTTTACTAGGTAACTATTATGTTGTTACTGGGTAACTATTATGTCTTCACTTGACAACTATTATGTCTTTACTATGTAACTGTTATGTCTTTACTGGGTAACGTCACCACAATGGTGAAAATATGAATTGACATTTGAGAAAAAGGGAGCTCAACATTTATCATTTACTGTGTAACTATTATGTCTTTACTTGTAACTATTATGTCTTCACTGGGTAACTATTATATCCCCACTGGGTAACTATTATGTCTTTACTGGGTAACTATTATGTATTTACTAGGTAACCATTATGTCTTTACTTGGTAACTATTATGTCTTTACTAGGTAACTATTATATCCCCACTGGGTAACTATTATGTCTTTACTTGGTAACTATTATGTCTTCACTGGGTAACTATTATATCCCCACTGGGTAACTATTATGTCTTTACTGGGTAACTATTATGTATTTACTAGGTAACCATTATGTCTTTACTTGGTAACTATTATGTCTTCACTGGGTAACTATTATATCCCCACTGGGTAACTATTATGTCTTTACTTGGTAACTATTATGTCTTCACTGGGTAACTATTATATCCCCACTGGGTAACTATTATGTCTTTACTGGGTAACTATTATGTATTTACTAGGTAACCATTATGTCTTTACTTGGTAACTATTATGTCTTCACTAGGTAACTATTATATCTTCACTGGGTAACTATTATGTCTTCACTGGTAACTATTATCGCTTTACTAGGTTACTATTATGTCTTTACTAGGTAACTATTATGTCTTTACTGGGTAACTATTATGTCTTTACTAGGTAACTATTATATCTTTACAAGGTAACTTTTGTGTCTTTACTGGGTAACTATTATGTCTTTACTGGGTGACTTTTGTCTTTACTGTATAACTGTCTTTACTGGGTAACTATTATGTCTTCACTGGGTAACTATTATGTCTTTACTGGGTAACTATTATATCTTCACTGTGTAACTATTATGTCTTCACTGGGTAACGTCACCATAATGGCGAAAATATGAATTGCCATTTGAGAAAAAGGGCAGACTCGTGAGCTCAACATTTATCCTTGCTGATGTAAACCCCAAATATATTCCACAAAAACCTTATCAGATATCAATCCTTTTCAAATATGATTTATATTTTCAATTTCATCCAAATCCAAATAATGTCTTTTCAAAACATGGCGTCTTTCGCGACGAGCGTCTTAAATGCATGATATTTCCACATGACGATTCTTTTCGTGGCAATTTTCACCGCACTATTTACATGAAATCTACTCTCAAATTATGCAGAAATGGGGTACAAATATAGTTTACGTCGCGAGTTTCAACGCAGTTCTTTACATCATTGCTACAGATAATGTCTGTAATCCGCCACCTCCACCAAAGATCCTTTGGCTACAAAAAGCGACGGAATGCTTGCAACGAGATCGGTTTAGATCTTTCGATTGGTTCTTTTGAAACATGTAAACGTATCTTTTTATAGCGTCATCGCCTACAAATAAATTGCTCACCAGAAAGAGAGACAGACTGTTGAGCAGAGATTAGAAGAAAGTGACTTGAGTATAAATTAGCCTGGCTCTTTAATCTACGATGTTCCCATTGCACGGTAGATATCTTCAATCATTTTGCTTGCTTTAAAGATGTCAACACTAACGCATCGAAGCATGTACAGTAGGAGTTGATTTGCTTTTTATTAGGCATTTCAGTCTAACTGTCTGGCTATCGTCTCTTTGAAAGACAGGCTTGCCCAGTTTGATAGGAAACGCTTTCAAAGTCATTTGCACTTCTGTGCTAGACGAGCAAGCAAATCACATGTCTAAGGACAAGAAGCGGCAATGCGTTAACAATGATATGAGGAACTGAATGCTGAGATGTTTTTCATATTGTTTCTGTCTTAGATATTTTGCTTTGGGATATATGAGAGATTAACTTGTTCCGGTAGTGGACGATGAATCGTGGTTTAGCGAAACGTTATCATGTGATTAAGAAATAATGACATAGTAAATTAGGTTTGTTCTTTTATCATTAAGTCATGGACAAACAAGACGGAATGGTATAGTAGGCAAGTGAATGAGCATGCTTGTACGCCTCTTTTAGCAATATTCAAGCAATATCCCAGCAGGAGATACCGGGAATGGGTTTTCAAACACTGTAGACTTGTGGAGAATCGAACTCAGATTCTCGGCGTAACGAGTGATAGCTTTAATCACCAAGACCGACTTTGAATGATGTACATTAGAATTGATCTTAGTAACATTATATCAATGTATATGTCATCGCTCTTGCTATTCTGGGCTTGTGGAGCATCGAATTCAGTGGGTGAAACGTTATTGACGTGGGTGTACGGGTTGCTCTTGGAAGCCATTGTTGGAAGCTATTCTTGGTTCTCATTTCGGCTGTGTTCGCTCACAGGTATAAACAATAAAAACTTCCAGGCAAAAGGAAACAGGAAACGGACACGTTTGATGGTGTCTAAAACAATACAGAGAATGATTGCTTATTGACGATGATATGATGGTATCATATTTCTGTTTGACTGTTTACTTAATAATTGTTTGCATGTGTAGCAAAGTAATTTTTTCTTTGGGGCACTTTCACGAGACGACAAAATATATATTATCGCTCAGGTTGTATTACAATAAACTACTATGACGTATGGTGACATATTATGAGAAAGTGAGTTTGATTTAATGTCGTAGCTTGCTGTGTATGTTAATGGTGGAAGAAAGCCCAAAGAGACTGTTACTATTGTGGTGCGACCCACACGCTCGAGAAGGTTTTATGGAACTTTTATTCGCAAGAAAGTTCAGTTATGTTAAGAGGAACCATCATCACGATTCCTGGTCAAAATAGGCCCTGGCATCCTTGCTTCTCTGAAACCACTGTTATGTGATTTATAACACCCAGTATGACTTGTGTGTTTTGTATAATTAATATGACCAGAGTCCTGATCCACAAAGCGTTCGTACATTTACGCCATGTCGTAACTCTATAGTATATCATCTATAGTGTAAGCTTACGAATGTCGGAGTGCTACGAACGTTTAGTGGAAAGGGGTCCTGGACTCGACCATCTGCGCACCGCATTGCTGTAGCTGGAATTTTGCTGAATGCTTCGTAAACCATCGTTCATTCGCTCAGAGAAACAAGGATAAACTGGTCAGTAAAATGTCTGTTTTCCATGCAGGTGCAAGCAGCCATTCGTAAAAAGCTGAGCAACTACCAGGAGAGTCGAAGTATCGTTACGAGATACACGAAAACCTCATTTGTTGGCTCTCCGGCACGCTCAACCAGCAACTACAACCAGAGCCTTCAAATGAGCACGTGTAATAACGGAAAACAAAATGGCTGCCGAGGGACGAGATACAGCGAGAGTTCGCGTGGAATGGAGGAGGAAGCAGAAAACATGTTGTGACTCCTCACTGGAAAATTATGGTCCAACAAAAGATCACATGTCAAAATGAACATTAACGAGGTAATGCTGTAATCGACAGATATAGATATCAGTCAATTGTGCTGAGTGAGCATTTTAAAGAGGAACATCTGTTCGTTGCAAAGGGTAGGGATCATTCATTGTCTTCGGTTCCCTTGCATGTGACTGTAAGAACAGTTTGTTGTCGGAATTTCCTGTATGAGATTCAGTACGATGTTAAATTTCAAGAGATTTACTGTTGTATATTTTTAAATGTCGTCAAAGTTCTTTATACATCTCATTGAGCTGTATGAATGCGACAAGTTGTTGAGATGTATATCCCCTGTAGCCCAGTGCATTATATGTCTATTGACTTTACGATACCATCCTAGAGCAACTCGTGACCACAGCTACGGTTCGGAGTGAGTGAGTGAGTGAGTATGGTTTTACTGCGTTTTTAGAATATTCCAGCAATATCGCAGCGGGGAATACGAAAATGGGTTTCAGACATTGTACCCATGTGGGGAATCGAACTCGGGTCTTCGGCGTGACGAGCGAACGCTTTAACCATTAGGCTACCCCACCGCCCACTCTGTTCGAAAGTGACGTCTCTATAGATCAAGCTTAGCATGTCCTTCGCTTACTCCAGTACATTGGCGTACATATATTTTCGTTTAATTTGAATCTGTTATGGTGGCGAAGGGCCTAGGGTATATAATAGAATGGAGAATAAAATGCACTGGGTTATCGAGAATGCAAAATTTATTGAAAGAGTATTTGTGAGAGTTCAACTATGACAAGAGCCGTATTTTACACAAAATCTGACCTGGCAATTCTTTTACAGCGTGTACGTTCATGCTTTTATTGAATTGTTCGAATTTTTAAAGATTATTCATGTGCTTTTTAATTGTGCCATATATACGTATCAACAAGTGTATATATCTATATGTAAATAGACCGTGTAAATAGAAATTATTAGTAGAAGTAGGGATAGACAAACTTTCATTCCAAACTGTTAATAGTTAAGCTGGGATTAACAGTACTAGTGTTCATTTTACGTGTATACACTCATCATACAATGTATCCGACATTATATACTGAGCAAAACATGTTAGGGATCATTAATTGTTTGGGGAATATTCCTTTTATAATTAAAAATATAAGATCCCTAACTTTTTTTGTTCAGTATATAAGACTATATATCATTATTCTGCCTAACGCAAGAACATTTGGGAAAAATAACATCCTTTAAGAGACGCCATTCGATATGTTGGAAAATGACGGATCAATCCGTCCACATATCGAAATGTCATGCTTTTGTAATGAGCGTCTTTTTACATATTCCTTACAACTTTGAAGTTTTTTAACTGTGAAGAAATTCCTATTACAGAATCCATTGCTGCATACAGACCTTTCAGAACTAATGTATCAATCGATTTAGTCCGAAGGAAATAAGGTTGCGGTATTTTTTTTATATTTCTAATACATATCGTGATCAAGTGTACTTCATCCAAGAGAATATGTGTCATGATATTTGCCATGAGTTGTGTAGGCCATGACATATCGGTGTCACGAAATTGCTGACTTAATATTATCGGAACGCTTAGTTTGAACATTTTCTCTGAAATGAAGAATTGTTAATGGGTTTTTTAATCGACAATGTTAGTATTTTAAAAACTACATATTTTAAAAAGAATATAATTGAAAGATAGCTCCATTTGGTCAATCAGTAGTGCAATCAGCCCAAGTAGTATGTTGAAGAGGCAGTTTCCTTTTATGTTTCTCAATTTCGGATGTGGAGTTTACTACCTGATCAAATGGAATAATGTTGCACTGAAGCTGATCACATTTTCACATCTTTGAGACCAAACGTCACGACACCTGGTCAGTGAGCAGTCTAATTACATTCTCAGGTAGAGAATATAATATATGTCTCGTAGATACGGAGGCAGTGAAATGGGAATGTGTTACAGAAATGAGACCGCGTGGGTACCCGTAAGCAGCAGAGATTACTACAGATAGATACGACATATCTTACGATGTTTTACCTGACATAAATTTGTACAGCCATCTGTTTCTCACACATTCTAAAACTGCGCAATTTTAGTATCGAAATCAAGCATACTTTCAATATTCTCATGATCGCAGTGGCGTAATAGTACATATCAAAACGGGCATATGTGACCATCCACACAAACAAAAAACCCTTCAGTGATTTGTTGATAATTAACTGCAACTAACGAACAAACAGATAAACAAACAAACAGTGTCTATTATACAAATAGTCATTTGACCAGTATATTCTATCGGGATTGAGCTATGGAGCATCAAGGTATCTAAGCTTACAGTCCTGTTTTAGTACATATCATCTAGATATTGCAATTCTAGATAGAAAGATGTACATTGTCCACACTGATTGCTATATGTTGATTAATGGGTGTATCTTGTTAAACTTTACACATACCGATTCAAAGTGATATAATCGATTAGACAAACATTCTAATTTTTGGTTCAATTGATTTATGATAATGACAGAACAAAAACAATCATATTCATATTTCGTTATAATTCACTTTGATGTTATTTTGGAAAAAAAAGTTGCAAAAAAGCATCGGTTTCTTGCTACATTTTCTGCTCATGCAGCAGAATTTCTGTGATATCGCCGACATGATTTGACAGTTATCTGAAGGTCTTGCCACAGTGAAAGGTTGCCACAGTCAAATGTAAATTATTTCATCAGAATGCTTGTTTAGAGCATATTTGTATTTGTAATATTGCATGATGGGGAAAGAACGAAATCCAAAAGAATTCTGATTGAAAAAAATACATTTTGCCTCATATGTTAGGATGATTGTATAATGAGCCGCGGTTAGGCTCCTTGTTATTGTATAGTAGGATTTCTATTCACTGTAAATATCTGTGCTACTCACAGCTTGTAAATACTCCACTTGTTTAACAAATAAATCTACGCTGTTACATGTTCGATATCACCCGTCAAATGTAATCTCACAATGTTTACTACCTAAATGATATATTCTTATAACTAACATTCTTTTAATTGTTAGCTTCTTCACATTCGTAGCATTCATTCCATGCAAAGGAGGTTCACACCTTTAAAGACTAAACATGCATATTTCATAACACATGGTATGTTTAAAACACGTCTGTCGACGTCCGTCTATAACGTAAACGTTCCTTATTCTCCAAGGATGGACGTTTGGTTGACAGTTATGGTACCTACCCTTCACGGTCGATTTTCTTTAGATTAGTTTGTATCTCAGTTATTCAAAATACCCCTTGACCGTCATCGGTATTACATATATTCTGATTTTGTGGGTTTTTTCTGAATTTGTTATTGTTAAGTTAAACAGGTGTATGAAGCCAATGAAAATATTGAGACAGTGTACTGCATAGAAAAAATTATAGTGTAAAAAGAACAACAACATCAACATTTGTACATGCATTGAATGAATACGTTCAGACCAATTTGTCATCACATATAGTATAGTTTTAGTTAGAGTAAAACTGATTTTAACAGTACGTAAAGAGTTGCCTCCTGTTGACCAACCCAGGACTTAGGTGTTTGACGGTGATGTGAAGAGTTATCTTCCTTGGTGTTAGAGGGCGTTACGTAACACCGCGCTTACTGCTAGCATGGCGACCGCTGTCGCACACAAGGTTTTATGAAAACGACAGAAAGTTGTCATGTTACTGAACATGGCGGATGATAGCGAAGGGGTGAAAACTAAACGTACGGGTTGAGGAACGCGTACGCTAGTAGGTCCCCTGTTATCGATACGACCGCTTTACAGAGCGAATGTGAAGTTCTGGATGCCGAATTGACGAAACTACGACTTGAAGCCAAGCGCAAGAAATTGGTGGATGAGATTGAGGGCACATATATACGTGATTATCAAAACAAACAAATTCAGTGGCACAAACATTCGTTGAAATTGTGCCTAATTTTAACATTCTTCTTTCATGCTGTCTAACTCATGTAATTTATATGTCTCATTATCATGTTATAAACTACTGCAACTGTGACCTCGAAACTCAAGAACACATGCACATGTACCCGACGTTTCTTGCTGTCCAACAAACACGACGTATTTCAGTAATATTTAAAGTGGCAACTACAATGTAACATACTACTCTAAGTTCTCCAAAATAGTTGGAATCCAAACCGTATATTAATCACAAAAGCAGGAGGATGTACATCCCACATCAATAATTCCTAAAGTCTGGTTTACGGATAACAGAACTTACTATTCGCTACTAAGCACACTGATTTGTTATCAGATGCGCAACGGTTCTCGTGATTGTGACGTATACAAATGTGTTTTTCTATGATTCTACCAAAAACATATTGGTTTTTGCGTTGTCGGACCCCGTGGTGTTTTCGGGTCGGATTTTGCCTTGAGTAACTTATGCTTGCCATGAACGAAACCGTTTCGTTACGTGATTTTCTAAACGACATATTCATCTGAACCAAATTGTGAACTATATTCTCTTATTTCAATGTACTTTCAGGTTTTTGCATAATTATGTTTTAATTATTATCATTTCTGTGACAGAAAAAAATGAAATGAAGACTTGTTCACGATGATGAAATAGTGTGATTCATGTGATCAAGTTCTGTGAATCAGCTGCCATTGACTGCCATTTTTTTGGCGTGCATGGTCGGTCATGCGTTCAGGACTTCTGGGATACTGTTGACGTCAGCATAACCAATGTACATTCATACGCTCTTCACTATAATCCCTGCTGATGCTTTGAAGAGCACCAAATATCCCACTGGGTGTGCGAACATCTGTCCACGTGTGGAGGGATCACAACTAAGGTGATGGTTAAACAGCAAATAAATTCTAAACGACAGTTGGTGATGACTAGATTATTTGGTTACAGTATATGATGCGCACAATACATCACTCAGAAATTATTTTGGTTTACTTCCGTAAGGGCTATATACCATCAGTACCTATGTATTTCACCTCCAGACTTTGGTTTCTTCACGATATGGCTGAGATTTTGCCGATGTGACGTTAAATATTAACTCACTCACTCCAGACTTTGGACAAAAAGGTCTCGACCTACAAATATTAAGGTTGTTGTTAGTGTAACAATAGATTTTAACTCCTCTCCCAGTTTTTTAGTATAATAAATGTATGTTACGTTCTGTCTACCTCCAGGATTCACCTCGATGATGTCGCTCAGTTAAATTGGAGTTGTATATTTTGTAGACCTCACATTGTCTCTTTCATATTTTATTCAATGCCAATTTAACATCCACCGCATATTTCATCTTGACACCTAACTAGTCCGGCTGAATGACATGTCCAGCAAATATCTGATATGTTTTCAAATGATCTCCCAGGTTTCAATATTATCCCTCTAATTTGAAACACTTGTTTATTTCTAAACATTCTTATGTCTGACATTTTCATCATGTTTTGTTCCATTAGTTCATTCATCGCCTGAAAGACAGGGTTACAT